TGGAATATTTAGTTGGAAGTATCTAACTGAAAATTGAACGCAAGGAGAACTGAAAATATAAATGAATAAGTTATTTGCATAGTTCAAATCAGAGGTAAGTGTAGAATGTCCTTTGCAAATTAAGCATACCTGAAGAAGCAGGTATGCAGGTTAGAAAATATTAGTATTTGAGTAATAAGTTAACAATTATTCAGGGAAGGAGATGAATGCAATAGCTAGAGAGATAAGTGATTCTTATCAGAAATTACAGAGTGCTTGTTAAAATACAGATTTCTGGGTTCCATATAAACTTACTCAATCTGAATCTTCTTGATGTGAGTGGATTAGAAATGGAAACTCATTCCAGTCAGCCATTTAGTTTAAGAGGTTAAGACATCCGGGTCCACATATTGGAACACTTGGGTCCAGCGTCTACCTCCAGCTGCCTACTCCTTCGTGCTGACGGAGACCTTGGGAGGCAGCAGTGATGGATCAAGGATTTGGGCTCCTGCTACACTTGTGGGAGATGGCCAGTATTGAATTCTCTGCTCCCACGTGTCACCTTGGCCCATCCCTGGTCATGGCAGTTATTTGCAGAGTGAATCAGCGTATGGGAGCTCTTGCCGCCTATTTGTCTGTCTACTTCTGAAATAAAGGAATTCAACAACAACAACAAAGACCAGGTGAGCTGATTTGTAGCTGCCCTGAAGTTTGAGAAAACCAGTTCAGTAAGAAAGTCGTAGGACATTGTTGATAGAAGAAGAAAGGCATTCCAAAGATACCTTGACCGTTAGTTCTCGTGCCAAAAGCTGGCAGATGATGTTGACGTGAACATTTCTAATTTTTTAATTTGAGAGGCAGAGAGACAGACAGTTGAAATCTTGCACTCAGTCCAGGATCCCTCCATGGTGGCACACACTAAGAACTTGAGCCACCACCTGCTTCCCAGCACATGCTTGAGCGGGGAAGTGGACCTGGAAGCAGAACTTGAAGCAGGTTCTCCTAATACAGCGTCCAAGTGACTCATCATGGTGTCTACTGAGAAAAACCAGTGTCTGTGCCTGTCATGCATCATTTTTATTCCACATGTAAATATACAAACGTAAATACACAGATTTTGTACAAAATGGAGTAGCCCTGACTCATCCCAATCTTAGTTTACTTATTTCTATTTCCTTATTATAGGTATATGAAGGGTTTGTAGCATTTCTAAAGAATCTCACTTGTCACTGTAGATCCCTATCATGGTGTACATCCTTTAAGACATTTCCTTAGGTGTGCAGAAACACGTGTATTATTAGAATTATGTCTGATTTTATTAAATCATCAGTAACCGCAGTATCTGCACCATTTTACAATTTGCTGTGTGACACTAGTATGTGTGATTATATTTCCAACAGCAAGGTAATGATCAAGTGACTGTGTTATAATTCACTTGCATCGATTCATTCCTAGCTGATTTTCAGTGTTTGTTTTGTGTCAATGACTATTTCACCTAATTGTGAATTTTGTTAAGTCTTTAGGATGGGTTTTAGCAGGTGAACCTGCAGAATGAAAGGTATTTTCAGTTATTTATTCAGAGTTCTGTATCAGCGTTCCCGGCATTCATTTCTCTAGCTGCTTCCCTTTGACTCCTTGTACAGTCCCTGGTTTTTCTTTTAAACTTCCTTGCTCTTCCCTTGTTTTTAGCAATACATATTCTGCTTTACTTACTTATTTTTGGTTTCTTTTAGGGGGAATTCCACGTCTAGTTGTGTTAACTTTTTATTTTCTGTGTTTTTCCAGAGCTCTGGGAGATTGCCTTGGTGCGGTTTGGCTTGTCCATCTGTGCGCAGTCTCCCAGTTTTGTGCGTGTTGTTTTGCTTTTTTCAGGTTCATTGTAATTCCGTTGGCTGTGACTAACCTACTTGGTTACTGGCATGTCTTCATTCACCCCTGAATAGAGCACAATGCAAACGACCAAAAAAAACAAAGCCTCAGTAAAGTTTGTCATGCCAAGAGGCAGCATAGGGAGCAGTGCTGTGTTTCTGCTGCTCTGGTGGGATGGGACAGCCTGCTGAGCCCCGTCGCGCTGAGCTCCCGGCACCCTCTGTGGCATTACCAAGATGCTTTGTTTCCCCTTCTCTGATGTTTTTCCTTGCGAGGCACTATTTTACTTAGGTTGCAATTAAATATAGAGTACTGGTCTAGGGTTTAAATACATTTTCTTCCACAAATGAAGCAGAATGTTATGGTGGAATTAAACTTTAGTTTAAAAATCAGCTTCAGACAAGTAAGTAATTCTGTAGTACTGTTGGATTATGTGAATTTTAGGGCAACATGGTTCTAGTTATCTGGATTCATTCTCATTTTGTACTCATTCTTCTGTGTTTGATTTCTAAAATGTTCCATTGTTGGTTGTATATTAGATACTGCATGCTTTCGTTTTTCAGCCATGAGTAAGGGTGTTCAGTATGGGCGTGCTACTTAGGAGTGCTGTGGGTTCAGTAGACTGTAGCAGCCACCCTTGTGACGTCCAGGCTGTGGTCTCAGGCCGCTGGCCTCCCTCTGCAGCTGTTTCTGTGCCGGGAACATGGTGCACCTTAGAGTGCGGTGCATCTGGACAATTGCTTCCCATTACGGTGACATTGCTTGGGAGTTGTAGTCACCTTTATCAGTTGACTTTAGCCAGCAGCTGCAAAGGGAATTGTTGCTGCTTGTCTCTTTGGACTCCTGCAGGCAAAATTAGGAATGAAGTCAGAGAAAATACAGACGTGTGCACCAGCACCTGGTCCTTGAGTGCTGTTCATACTGTCAGCTATTGTGTCACTGTGGGAAGGAAGCTAACGTCCCCTCACTGCCCTGTGGGTCCTCTGGCATCTGCATGAGTCTGTATTTCTGTTGTACAGTGTGACAAACAGCTTCCCAAACCTTTTTTTGCATTAGAGAAGAGTGGTTAAGTGCTCTGCACTGGAGTTACAAAATTTGGTTTTGGGTCTGGTGCGGTAGCCCAGCAGTTCAAGTCCTAGCCTTGCATGCGCTGGGATCCTATATGGGCACCAGTTCCAATCCTAGCAGTCTCACTTCCCATCCAGCTCCCTGCTTGTGTCTTGGGAAAGCAGTTGAGAATGGCCCAAAGCCTTGGAACCCTGCACCCATGTGGGAGACCCGGAAGAGGCTCTGGGTTCCTGACCTCAGATTGGCTCAGCTCTGGCCATTGCAGCTGCTTAGGGAGTGAGTCAGTGGACAAAAGATCTTCCTCTCTGTCACTCCTCCTCTCTGTATATCTGACTTTGCAGTTAAAAAAAAAAACTTAAAAAAAAAAATTCTTAAAATTTGTTTGGCCTCAACCTCACATCTTCCAATTTCTTTTGTGGGCCTGGGTGAATTGCTTAACTTCCTGTTGCCTCCGTTTTTCTCGTAAAGTGATGGGACTGCTCTGCCAGTTGTAGGGGTAAAATGAGTTGACGTCAGTCTCTTAGCAAAGAAAGCCCTGGCTGTGTTCCGAGCTCTGGTTAGGACCCCTAGATGTTCCAGGTTCATTATTGACTCTGATGAATCCCCAAAGGTGGAATTGATGGGTCCAAGAATAGAAATATTTTCAGGGCTTTGAAGTGTCTTACAAAATCCTGCTCCAAAAAGGTGGTGTGGCTCTCCTTGGGAGTTGACTTGGAGGGTTTCTGTTTTTCTGGAACCCTTAGACTCTGAGCTGTAAGTGTGTGTTTATCTGAAGGTTGGGGCAAGTCCATTTGCCCTGAGGGTATCTGTAAGATGACTCAAGCACTGTGATCTGAGACAAATAAAAGGATTATCTTCTTGCTCTGCCCACTAGCCCTTTGTATTTAACCCTCATTTTGATACTTTTTGGCTCTCTAGATACCAAAATTTCTCTTTTTGTGTGTGTTTTGTTGTTCCCAAAGTACCTCCCATCAGTGCCTTCCCATTTGATTCTCAGAATAGATATGTCAAGTACACGGGATATAATATACCTAGAGGAGAAACATTAGCAAAAGGGAATAAAACCAGGACAGGCGAAAGTGGGTCAGGGTGGCACCTTTCTGAAAACTGGTGTGCGGCTCCGTGATAAGCTGTCAGGGCTCCCTGGCTCTCTGCTCAGCTGCTCTCCCGAAGCTGAATCACTTATCAGTAACTAGTCAGAAGACCCCACAGGACTAACCTCAGCTCAGATGAGGATGCCATCGTAAGTCTTTATGGGAAAATTAACATCTAGCAATCCTGAAAGCAAGGTGCATTTATAATGCACTCACTGTCAAGTTTTCTCTGTGTTAAAGATAGAATTTCACTAAAATGTAACCTTGAAGTTCTGAAGTGGGAGCTAGCTTAAGTTGTTTTGCTTGCAAATCTCATAGTATAAATCTATCCTAGTCAAATGTTAAGTTCTCAAACATCTTTTATGAAACCATTATTCAAACATTGAGGCCTCTTTTTTAGAGCTTCTCCCAAAGGGCATGTATGCTTGTGTAAGTGCTATTAATCATGCAACTTGGCTGTTTTCTCAGCTCCAGTCACTGGGACATTCTTGGGCTTCCTATATAAGGAACTTGTTTTTGTTCATCTATCTAACTTAGTATGAGCAGATTTTATATTCTTATTTGTGTATCATCAAACTTTCTGCTGAAGAACTAAGAATGTCTGCAGTATTCACTAGTGCTAGAGGGATAAAAGGGACATTAGGGCATAAGAAAGATGCATTCTTGTGATAGTTTATATTTCAGATTTAAAATGAGTTTTCAGAAATCTCTTACTGCAGCTTTATAATATGAAGGACATTGAAATTGAATAGAATAGAAACAGGTAGACCATGATTTTGAACCTGAACTAGGATTTTAAAATGAATTTGTGATAGCCTCATTTTTTTTTTTCAGATTTCCATACCCAACCACCATGTAAATTTTTAGGGTGTTTTGGTTTGCTTTTTGGTTTTCTTTAAATGGCCGGTGGGAGAGAAGGTGCTGGCACCCTGTGCTTGCTTGAGTTAGCACGCTCGGTCACTGACTGGTTTCTCTGGCTGTGTCTGGCAGGTGTTCCGTGCAGTTACCCCTTGGTGACTCCACACACAGCAGCGTAACTATGGCGACTTCCCAGCTTCTCAGAAACAGTCACCTGAAGACGAGAGCACCTGTTAGAAAAGTAAGTTTTAATATGAACAACAGGTGGGGTCATTTTGAATCCTATTGCCTTGATTTTTTTAATTAATCTTATTTAAACTAGTAACATTACATAAAAAGACTTTCATGTATGAAAATAGTACTAATGAATTCATGATTGTATTTTCTGAAGACCACACTGCCTGTTCCCTATTTCTTCTCAAAAGTTAATTTTCCATCACCAAACCTCCCTTTTTTTTTTTTTACCAGTGTAGGCCATCTTTGTGCTTTGTCCTAAAATTGTTTAGCAAGCATTATCATTCCTTTATTCATTCAGCAAATTTGAGTACCTTTTTTTTTTTTTTGTGCTCAAAACAACATGCTACCTGCTGAGTAAGTGGTAATTAGCAAATGAAATGTAATGCCCTCGTTCTTTGTAGAACCCTGACTTTCCTCCCTTAAAGTGAATTGGTTAACAGGCTGTTTCTTGACATGTGTATCTTTTATGATGCTTGAGACATTACTTAAAGGAAAGAGAAAGCTGGGATGGTTAGTGATGGTATCTTTTTTCTAGATGACATTTTCTGCATGATGCTGTCGACCAATCCTTACATGTTAAGACAGGTTTTGCCTTCTTTCACTGCAGTATTTTTCTTGCTTTCATGTAGTTCATCTAAGTAGATGAGGAAAGGATAAATGCCCTCTAATTACAAATTTTCAGGTTAATAACAACATAATAGTCACCTTCACTAGTGGCAAATAAAAGCTGTATGAGATGCTTGTTCTGATTTTACTGTTCATTCATATGTATTGCTCTGGACTCACAGATTTTTATATTCCTATATTTTACAACCTCTTGTATGTTAACATTAATTCATTTATTCATTGGAAGATGGGCTCTGGAGTAATGGCTCAGTGACTAAATCCTTACCTCGCATGTGCCAGGATCCCATATAGGCACCGGTTTGTGTTCTGGCTATTCCATTTCCCATCCAGTTCCCCCCTCTGGCCTGGGCAAGCACTAGAGGACAGCCCAAAGCCTTGGGACCCTACGCCCACCTGGGAGACTTGGAAGAGGTTCCTGACTCCTGGCTTCGAATTGACTCAATGCTCACCAGTGTGACCATTTGGGGAATGAACCAGCAAAAGAAATATCTTTCTCTCTGTCACTCTGTAAATCTTATCTGCTTTTCCAATAAAAATAAATCTTTTGAAGAAATAAGAGTGAGACTCCTGAATTGACTGCAGTTAAATTTACCACCTGTGTATCTTGGAAATTTAGGATAGCAATTTTAAAAAAATTTAAAACCAATAATAATAATATATTATTGCCCCAAATAGGAAGCTGAGAGTCACTTTAAGCTGCTACCTGTGTCCTTTTGTCTTAGGCTCATCATCCTGCCTTTTTGCCTGGAATTGGCAAAGAATCTAACTGGTGGCATAGTTAGATAGGTATTCCAGGCTCATTTGATGCTTTGTCTTCCTCAGACCTGCTAATTGTTTGTGCAGGAAGCTCTGGTTCTTAGAATGGGTGATTGGTATCTAAAACCCAAATCTTGACTACTGGGTATGCATAGTGCTACCAAAGGCCTTTCAGTGGAAAAGGTAACAATTTATATTTAAAGAATCATGAGTTCATTTGATGCATCACATTTGAGTGTATTTTTTTCTTGAATTTTTGGGTTCTTATTTGTATCTCATCTAAGATCACAGATTTTTATTTTACTCATTTATTAAATGAGCAACTGTTACTTGAGTCCGTGTGGTATGTGAGGTCCCAAGATTTGAGGAAACAGGCTGAAGCACAGTCTCTGACTTCCGTGATTTGGTTTAGTGGGTGAAAAAGACAGATACATACATCTGTTGCAATTATAACAAATCAATAATCTGTGTCGTGAGGTAGAGTAAGTTATCTTAATGTGCTGTGCATGTTAATGCTGTATTGTCTAGTACAGCAGCAACGTGTCATTATGATTCAGAGGTGAAAAAAAATCCTCAAATTTCTTAGAATGGGTAGGATTAATGCAGGTACTGACTCTGGAGTAAGGACGTTTCTGATAAAAAAAAAAGACCAGATAAGCAGATCAGCGGAAAATGAGTCAGGTAGAGGAACTCTGTGTGCTTTGTGATTAACTGTAATGCTAATTATTTTCTTTATACAACTATTTCCTTCCTCTGTTCCATTGCACTTGTAATGGCCTCCTTATCCCAAATCTGAAATCTCTCATTTTTACTGCTAACAGCTTCCTTAAGGCTGCTGAAAAACCTTACTTTGGGCTACTGTCTCTTTTAGTCTGTCTCCAGCTTTGTTAAGGGAATAATTGTTGCTGTTAGTGTGAGCTTACTGAAGCTTCCATATCATCTTGCTCATTTTATAAATTGTTGCTTCTTAATTAAAAGACATGGATTTTGTAAAGTTTTCATATAAGAGCAAGTAAACCTGGCGTTAAGACTGTGTGTGGGCTTCCAGAATTCAGTGCCAAAACTTAGTGTGGGTGGCATTTTTGGTTCATGGAAAACTACACGATCCTTTTCAGCCAAGTGGAGCTATTCTCAGTTGATGTATGCATCCAGTATGGCAAAAGGTGCCCAGTGAATATTAGTTGGAGCATCAGTGGCTATTTAAAACCAAAATGTCTCCAGAATCTCCTGTCTTATCTTGGAATTAAAAAAAGTACAACTGTCTTTTTTTCCCTCCCTGTTTCCAGAGCTTCAGTGAAGATGTGTTCCAGTCTGTGAAGTCTTTGTTACAGAGTGAGAAAGAACTGTGCAGTGTGGCAGCGGAGGGCCACCTAAAGCAGCATGACCGTGCTGATTTAACTGAGGTAGGGCATTTTTGCTTTGTGCAGTCCTTCTTAATACAGCTCAGTAATACAGTAATACAGCTCAGTAGGGCTGCAAACTCTAATTTCACAAATGCCTGCCCTTTATTACATTGTTACAAGTATGTGTTTCAAATACTACTGGCAAACATCATTGTCTCAGTGTATTGTAATGAGTATGCTTCATTCAACACATGGACCCTGACTGCTCACTGGACATCTCTGCGTTGCATGATTCTTCCAATATTCAGTAGTTAGAACTTTAATACCAACTTTTTTTACTCTGAAACGTAGAATATGTGACGCTAATTTGTTTTCCAGGTTACTGTTAGTTGACCTAAAAATCGGAATAGGGGTTATTCCCCTCTAATTTCCCCGTAATGAGGCATCACATTCATGTGTGATATTAGGTCACCACAGCTTCAGGCTGATAAGTATATTAAAATAATTTTTGAAATGAGGATTCCAGTGGAAATTTTGGTGATTCTTATATTCTGAGTGAATGACATTCTTTCATATCTGAAATGTCACTTCATAGAAAAGATAGATGTAGCTGTTAGACTTGAACTGTGCTACTCCTAACCCTTCACTTTTTGTGTTAACTCAGTTTCTGTGACTCCAGTGTTGCCTTCTTACTGTCTACTTCCACTGTTAATCAATGCCGTTGTTGCTACATTGTGCCATCCCAGCTGCTGACTAATGCCTTTCCCAGCCCCCATAACTTGCTGAAGTCTTTCTTGATCTATGGGAAATGAGAACCCTGCTAGCATCTTCAGAAGCTCATTTTCTCTTGTGGTGATTATAAGAAACTTGATAAAATAGAATTTCAGTCCCACTTTCAGGTGTACATATCCAAAGTATAGTTTTGAAAATAAAGAAGCAACTTTGTTACTTGAGTACTGTTTGTCAGTGAAAGTGGCAGGCCCTTTGCTCTGCTTCATCCAGCTAACCCTCACAGCTGGGGGAAGGGTGATTGCATTGCATTGCCTTGATTTTCTGGATGAGGGCACAGGCTCTGAGAAGTAACACTTGACCTTGGTACCTAGAAGATTAATTCTTTTGGGAAACAATAACCATGATCAGAATAAAGATCCTGGAGTAAAGGTTCTCACTTGTTGATGAATTGATAGAAAGATATCAAAAGTTTATTCGGTATTGCTTAATGTTTTCATTCTGCCATTCTCCTCGCTGCCCACGCTAGTTCTTGAAAATTGATTATCTGCTGTCACGTAAACATTACATATTTTTAGCCATAGTCCTCAACTAGTAGACAATTTAGTATTTTATTTTCAGATAAAAAACTTCTAAAAGACAAAGAAAATATGACTGTAAAATCATGAATTTTTCATATAATAAAAGTAATGCATATTCTTTGTAGAACAATAAGAAATGCTACAATTATAAAAAAGGAAATGACTCATTGAGCCTATGAACTGTGAGGAAGGGGAAGGTTTATAAATAAAGTTTAACGAAATAAAAACTAAAATTTAACAAAAATTCACCTGTAACTCTGTCATCCGGTTAAACACTGCATGTAATTTAGCATATGGCCTTGTATTTTCCATGTATCAAGGCTAAAATTATGTTCATATTGTGTTTCATTTGTTTGTAACTTTGTTAGAATTGTGATATTTCCTAGTGCCATTAGTTATTTAAAAATTAAGGAAATTTCTGCGGAGTAAAATTTCAAATAAGCGTGTTAAGGGAGTAAATGATGATATCACAGGCAGTCAGTGAGGAGAAAGCTTTGGAGGCCTACTCAGGCTTTCTCCAGAGCTAGGGGAGGAGGCAGTCACGTGCCACCCAGGAGAAGAGGTCCAGGCTGAGAGATGGAGGCGAGCATGCACAGGGCATGTAGCAGGCCTGGAGGGGGCCAGCGCGAGTGAAGACAGCTGAGGGAGGGCCAAATGGATCAGCGAATCCCACGAAGAGTTTTGACTAGAAGGTGGCATGAGAGTGGGAACAACTCAGACACAACTGAATGTATTTCTTATATGTTTGTGGGGTAGATGTGACTGAACTTGCTTTTGAAGTAATTTGAGGAGAAATCTTTTTGATCATCTTTGAAAAAGTTATCCGTTGTGCTGTTTTTTTTTCCTGTTTCTCTGCTGTATCAAATCTGAGATAAGATATAAAAACAGACTGATGAAACTTTATTTTTATTCAGGTCACATTTCTTGGTTTTAATGAAGAAACGGATGCTGCTCATATACAGGTATGTGGTCAATGTGATGAACTAGAAAGGTCTGTGGAACATATTTTGAAGCTAAAAATTTCCCTTTTTGCCCCAACTTTACACTGAATTCTTGTATTGTTAAAAATTTATATTAAGTTCTGCTAGGATCTTTTTTTAAATCAGAAGATTTTAATTTCAGGTCAACTTTTGATTGTGCTTTGCACATTTTCACTTTTGTCATTCTTAGTGAATATTTTAATTGTAGAAGACAGCACAAAAGTCACTTATCACAGTAGGCTGCAAATTATTGTGCTTTTCTCCATTGTGTTCATTATTTAGAACACGTATTTTTGTTTTGATGTTTTTCATAATTTGGCTTCACCAGTAATAATTTTGTATTTTTAGTTGCAAAAGTGCCGAATGTAAAATAAAAAACTTAGTGGTTGGTGGTATAGCATAGTAGATAAAGCTACTGCCTTTAATGCCAGCATCCCATATGGGCAGCAGTTCCTGTCCCAGCTGCTCCACTTCAGTACAGCTTCTTTCTAATGGCCCGCGAAAAGCAGCACAAGAGGCCCAGGTGCTTGGGCTCGTACTGCCCACACGAGAGACTAGGTGTTGTGGCTATCTGGGGAATGGAAGATCTCTGTCTCTCCCTCCAACTCTTTTCCAATAAATGATTAGATCTTTTTTTTTTTTTAAAGATTTATTTATTTTTATTACAAAGTCAGATATACAGAGAGGAGAGATAGAGAGGAAGATCTTCATCTGATGATTCACTCCCTAAGTGAGTGCAACGGCCAGTGCTGCGCCGATCCGAAGCTGGGAACCAGGAACTACCTCCAGGTCTCCCACATGGGTGCAGGGTCCCAAGGCTTTGGGCCGTCCTCGACTACTTTCCCAGGGCACCAGCAGGGAGCTGGATGGGAAGTGGAGCTGCCAGGATTAGAACCGGAGTTTATATGGGATCCTGCTGCGTTCAAGGCGAGGATGTTAGCCACTAGGCCACGCTGCTGGGCGCAATAGATCTTTAAAAACAAAAAGGTCAGGCCTGGCACGTTGGCGCCGTGGTTAAGGTCCTCGCCTTGCACGTCCGGGATCCCATATGGGCACCGGTTCTAATCCCGGCAGCCCTGCTTCCGATCCAGCTCCCTGCTTGTGGCCTGGGAAAGCAGTCGAGGACGGCCCAAAGCTCTGGGACCCTGCACCCATGTTGGAGACCCAGAAGAGGTTCCTGATTTCCAATTGGCTCAGCTCCAGCCGTTGCGGCCGCTTGGGGAGTGAATCATCGGACGGAAGATCTTTCTCTCTGTCTCTCCTCTCTGTATATCTGCCTTTCCAATAAAAAAAAAAAAATTAAAAAAAAAAACAAACACAAAAAGCTCCAATTTGTATTAAGTAATAGCCAGTACAAAAATGTTAGCTGCTTGATCTAGGCAGTTGTCTGCAGTGACTAATGTTAGAGGTGAGGGCCGTACTGGAAAGGAGTGGCATGGCCTGAAGAGGGGTCCAGGTTCCTGGAGATAGATCTCATTTTCCTCCTCTCTCTCTGACTGCTGCGATTTGGGGCTGGACTTTTGGCTTTGGGGCACCCACATTCCACATCTGACTCGCTGGGTTTGATTTTCAATTTTGTTTCAGCTTCTTGCCCTTGTGGGTCCTGGGAGGCAGCAGGAAATAGCCTAAGTGGTAAATCTGGCTGAACTTTGTGGCTGGCTGCCTGCCTAGCCGGCATGGCTATTTGAGCAGTTAGCCAATAGATGGCTGGTGCTCCTTCTGTTTGTATTGCTCGCTCTCTGCTCTGGAATATCTAAAAATTTGTGACTTTTATGTTTTGTAAAATGTCTCTTGGTAGAGGAAAAAGTAGTATTCTGTTCTTCCTGGTGTGTGCATAGTGAGAGACTGAGAATAGAAACCCTGCTGTGTCTCCTGTTTGTGCCCTTGCTTGGAGGAAGTGGTTTGGATAGAAGGAATAAAAGAGGACATATTCCTGAATACCCGTGACTGGAAAGAGGAATGTTCCTAAGTTGTCAGCTTGAAATTGATTATTTTAACAACTGCAAAGAGGAAGATTTATTTAGTGATAAACCTTATTGTTACTTCTTTACAATGTCCACATGTGCGAACCTTAACAAAAGAGTGAGTTTACAGTGTCTTTTTTTAAATTATTATTTTAAATTAGGATTTAGCTGCAGTTTCTTTGGAACTTCCAGATCTTCTGAATTCACTTCATTTCTGCAGCCTCAATGAAAATGAAATAATTTGTATGAAGGATATAAATAAATCATCAGAAATGAATAATGATCCTCTAAATCAGGTAACCTTTGTGAATAATTCCTAAGGAATTCCTTAATGCAAATTTGATCAAGATTCATGTGCTTGGATGAAGTTTTTTTTTAGTGTTATCTAAAGGAAATCTAATTCATGAATCTTAACTGCCATGAGATTGACACATCTGCAGGCCAGAGCTTATGAATTAAAAATTCTGTCTATAGTTCCATAAATGGTACAAAAATACATATTTTTTTCTGAAGATCATTATTTTTGGATTTCTTGAACTATTGCTAACATTTACAAGCTGTGGGGACTTTTCCTCTTTTTGACCAATTCCAGAGTTATATAAATGTGCTATATTAGATAATGTACTTCAACTCATAGTTTATTGAAATTCTGTGTAAAGTAGATACTGGATGGTAGTGGTTCTTTGTTTCTAAACAGAAATATTACCATTTGAGACGGGTGGTTAGTTTCAAAATATTCAGCATGTAGTTGAATTAGTTCTTTTTGAGAACAAGTGAGCCAATAGATTTCAGTGTTGAATGTGTTATTCTAGGTATAAAGACCTGCCATTTTCTCTATGAAATCTAGCAATAAAATTAGAAGTGTTTGCTTGTTTCCTTAATTATATTCATCTATGTTTGCTCTGCTTTATTTTTTAGAGTGTAAGAGGTAAGTAGCTGTTTGGTTATTAGATTTTTGAATAAATCGTCAATATATACATGTTTAGATATTATGTGAGTGAAAATCTGACTTGTATTCTTCAAGCTGTAAAAATTTTAATACTGGGTAAATTCTAGTAAAGGAAGGTATAGTTCTTTTATAGTAATAGGAATGAAGGTAAAAGCCATAGGAAATTGGTAACAAAAAAAAAAAGAAATGAAACAAGCTGATTACTACTGTGGAAATTGTGCAACAATATAGGAAGACATAATTGTCTAAAGATATAGGTAGCTAATATGTTATGTAGTATGTAAGGAGAGAAACTTAAGTGGGAATTGAATGCCTCTATAAGAAAGAAAGCTAGGAGGAGACAGCTTAGGAACTGAGAATGGTGAAGAGTGAAAAGAAACGTCGTAAAACCAGGGAGCCTTCAGGATGCATATTTTTTTTCCTCTGCTATCTGATTTCTAGCCTTTACTTCCTGATGCTATATTTTTATTTGAAATAAAAATTGTTACCATCTTTCATTTTTCCTAAGACTCATCATTCTGGAATGCTTTGTGTCATGAGAGTGTCACCTACATTACCAAAACTCAGAATTGATTTTATCTTCAGTCTCCTAAGTAAATATGCTACTGGCATAAGATATACCTTGGACACGTACTTGCATCAGAAGCACCAACTTGAGACCACTGATGAAGATGATGATGATACTAATCAGTCTGTGTCTTCCATTGAGGATGACTTTGTTACAGCTTTTGAGCACTTAGAAGAAGAAGAGACTTCAAAACTGTATAATGATGGTTTGTTCTTTTGCTAGACTTTCTCTTAATTTAGGGAAAATTAAAGCTTAAAAATACAATTTTGAAAGTTACTAAGGTACACTTGGTCAGTTAAAATTGGGTTCAATTAAATGTTTTAGCTTCTCCTTCCGATTACCTGAGAAATTAATTTTCTTGTGATTTTTAATTTTACTGTTACCTGGATTTCACTGTTGCTGTTTCTGTGCTTGGTTAGGTTATGCAGTCTAAGCACTGTTTGACCTTACTGTCTGTAGTGTCTGAAACATACTTAGGTACAAAAGGTTCAAATTTCTGAACAGTTAACTGGCAGGTCTACCATAGTACTTAACTTTTGTGACATGCTGAGCATTCTATAGGCCAAATAACACAGACATAGGGCAAAATGAAGTTATTATAGTAAAGGGTACATTTGCTTTCAAGTGTTACTTGGGATGAATCCTTTTGTTACCATAGTTTAGAAGACACATTAGGAATAAATATTTCATATTTTAGTCTTCTGAATTAATTAAGAAAATTTCTTAAAATTTCTGTTCAAGAATAATAGACTTTTTTCTTTTCATGTAGGAATAGATGTTATTGCATTGAAGAGCCAGTGCAATGCTGCTTCTCAGACTATTTCTTGTCACCACAAAGAAAACCACAATTTAAGGATTCTGGTTAGCTCTGGACAACAGAAGTCATTGGCTAAACCCTCAACTTCCTTAATGAGTGCCCTGGCACATAAAGAACTACCTTCTATGAAAACTTCAGTTACAACACCGATTTCAGAGCCTTGGATCCAGAGAAGTTTCTATAGGCCTTCTAATGCTTCTGAGAAAGGCAGTGACGGACAGAAAACCTTTTTTTCCTCTTCTCCTGCCTACTCTTCTGAATCAGAGTGTTCAAGCCCGAGTCCTGTGATTTTCTTGGATGAAGAAGGATATCAAAAAAGTTTAAAGGCTAAACTTGAGCTGCCTAAAATTCCTGTGATGAAAGATGATATTGAGGATTCCGACTCAGAAGTCAGTGAATTTTTTGATAGTTTTGATCAGTTTGATGAGTTAGAACAAGCCTCAGAGACTTCTTGTCTGTTTATAAAAGATACGGCTGTGGAAAAGTCATCACAAAAGAAAGGGCACAAGCATGAGAAATCTTGTATGAATCCCCAAAAATTCAAGTTTGATCGTCCAGCTCTGCCAGCTAATGTTCGAAAGCCTACTCCTCGGAAACCAGAATCCCCATATAGTAACCTGTGTGAGGCTCCCGATTCTCCTCGCCCAGTGAAGGCCTCAGGAGAAGAGAGTGGCTTGTTTAGCCCTGTTCGTACCTCTGCTTTTAGTCCTCTTGGAGGCTGCACCCCTGCTGAATGTTTTTGCCAGTCGGATAATGGAGGAGACAGGATTCATGAGAGTCACGATTCCATTTATGACACCTATGAAGATTATGCGGATAGTGTGTCCTATGAAGTACTGGACTCGGTTCTTCATACCCGTCACAGTTACGGAATATCAAACATTACGAAAAGGGAAGAAACTAAAACTGTGGCTCTTAAGCATGGAAATCTTGACCAGCACGATCAATCTAAGACTGAATCGTTCATGATTAAAGACAGTATTCAGAAATTTGCAGCTGACCTTGTGGAAAAAAGTTTGGCTGGCGCATTTAAAGACTTGCAGAGAGGAGTTTCTTCGTGCACCAATGCATTGTGCCACTTAGCTGTCAAATTGACATCATCTGTTTTTCAGATGGCATTTAATGAACTGCGAAGACAGCGTGCGTTTTCACTTAAAGAACGTGCCATTAGTGGCCTGGCCAATTTTTTGGTGAGTGAAGCTTTGTCCAATGCCTTAAAAGATTTACAGTACGTAAAGAAGCAGATGTTCACAAATACAGTTGCTAGGTTTGCTGCAGATCTTGCTGAAGAGCTTGTTTTTGAAGGTATAATGGAGGTGTGTCAGTTTTCTTATCCACCAACACCTGCATCTCCACAGTGTAAGTCATTTGACTTTGAAAGCAAAGTAGTGAAGTCCTATGCAAAAGATTTGTCTGAATCTGTACTACAGGAAGCCTTCATAGAACTCTCCCAGGTGGATATGACCTTCACAACAAAGGCAGCCGTGAGTGTCTCTGTGGACAATGTCAAGGGTGTGAGTGCAGAAAGCCTGCCATCGACACAGACTTTCACATTTTCTCCTTTTACCAACCAAGTAATTTCAGGGACAAAACCAACACAGGACTCTAAGAAGGAATACACAGTGCAGCAGGCCTTGTTTTGTACTTCTGGAATTGTTACTTCTATACCAGTGCCCTTGGCAGGAAGTGCCCTCCGCCCATATCATACTTCATCTGCTGTGTGTCAGGGAAAGACTGCGCAGTCATCTGATGGGCATCATTCACATGATGATTCTCCCCAGTCACCTCTTCCCATGAAACGCAAAGGAGAAGTAGCTTGTCTCAGAAATGTTTGTTTACCTTCAGAACACAATTCCCCTAAACAAAGCGATCTGAAAACAGCTAGTGATGATGTTGAAGTGCAGAGTTCTCCACAATCAGCCAGCGAGCCTCTGATTATTAGTAACTTTTCTGCAGCAATGGCACGTACATTAGTAAATGAAACTTTAGCGTCCGTGGCATCATTTGAAGCTGCAGAAATAGTTAATGAATACACAAGTGATTTAAATAAAGTATTAACGGAAAAATCTTCTCCTTTGTCCCATTGTGATCCAGCAACACTGCAACAATGTGAAGTGAGCAATAAGGATATGTTTGCTGACTGCTTATCTAAATCTGTTATTAAACATTCCATAGACGAAAGTAAATCAGTGACTTCAACTAGAGATAAAAATGCAGCATGTAAGGAAGGCATACCGATTCCTGGAGAAGAATCACAATTAACTTTCCAAAAGGTTCCTAAGTTTCTTGACACTCAAGATCACTTAACTGACTGTTCACTTTCAGTTAAAAAGGAGTGTGTTCCAGTACAGAAAAATCCGCTAGCTCATGAATTTTCTTTGGAGACACTGCCAACTTGTCCAACCATGGCAAGTCAAAAACTTGATTTGACAGAACTTGCTAAGGATAAACCAGTAAAAAATCACAATGTGAAGAACACAGCGATTGAGTCCTGGTCTTTTGGACAGGAAAGCCCCTTTCCTCATTCACATGCTCTCTCATCTTCAGTGTTTACCTGTGTAGATGGCTTTCAGGTAGAAGACAAGCCAAAACTTAGAGACAGAAATGTAATACCTGATACTCCTCCATCGACTCCACTACTGCCGTCCCAGGCCAGTTCTGAGTGGGATATCAAGAAATTAACCAAAAAGCTCAAGGGTGAATTAGCTAAAGAATTTGCACCTGCGACACCACCTTCCACACCTCACAACTCATCTGTTGGTAATCTGTCTGAAAATGAGCAAAATGCCATAGAGAAGGAGGAGTTCATGTTGAAACTCATGCGGTCTCTTTCAGAAGAAGTTGAAGGTAGTGAAGATGAGGAACAGCCTCAGGTGGATGTGAAGTTGGAGCACTCAAGGAAGAAAGTTCAGTTTGCAGAAGGATTAGCTACACATATCATTTCAACGGCAACTGAAATGGCAGCTTCCCACTTGGACAATAAAATAACTCAAGAACTCCAGGTTAAACGTGCTTGCTTCGATTTGCTGAGTCAAAGAAGTATATCGCCTACTTTAAATTGCTCAGTTGATGATTTGCAAACACTGTACAGTTTTGCAGGTGACATGGCAACAGAAGTCATTACAGAAGCTGAGAAAATTGCAAAAGCTAAAAGTTACATGATTTTTAGGCAGAGGAAGAACAGTTGCTATCTTGATGGTGACCGAGATTATCGATCGGAAGAGAAGTTAAATGTGGAGACTGTGACACACCCAAAAGAAGTGGACTCATTTCTTCTTTCTTTACCACCAAGTTCTTGTATGTCAGGGCTGACATATAAATATCCCAGCTGTGAAAGTGTGACAGATGAATACGCAGGTCACATTATACAAATCCTAAAAAAGGAAGGTGGTAATAGTGAGTTAATAATGGATCAGTATGCCAATAGACTTGCCTATCGGTCTGTGAAGTCAGGATTACAGGAAGCAGCTAAGACAGCCAAAATGAAGTGCAGCACAGCCATGTTCCCTGTGCAGAGCTCACAGGTGAAGACCAACAATGAACTGCAAATGCTTTCAAATAAAGACCACCACAAAGAAATAGAGAAAAGAAGACAAAGTAAAAGAAATGGAGGTTACCTCTGTAAAAATCAAACTTGTGAAAGGATGCAGGACGCATATAGAAGTGAGTGCTCTGAACTGTATAGTTTTTCGAGCTCTCTTGCTCATAGTATAACGAGAGACGTTAAAAAAGAACTGGCAGGATCTACAGTTAACTTGCCAAAATCCTTAACAAAGCCTTGCCTTTATAATAGGTCAACTTGTAGTGAAGACACTGAGCATCACATTGAACCAGAATCTCCCCAAATTCCTAAGCCTTCTCAACATCATGGGCTTTGCCAAAGAACAGGCAGCACAACTGGACATGGTTATGGAATGAATGTTGTTCAGGCTATAGAACAGTATGCTAAAAAGGTTGTGGATGACACTTTGGAGCTAAGTTTAGGATCTGCACTTTTCCCAGCGTCTGAGACCACAAAATCAGCAGATAGGGTCACGTATGCTCAAAAGTTGTCACCACTTATGAGCCAGGCTTGCAGGTACTGTGACCTTAAAGAACTCCATGATTGCACCGGAAGCTCATCTCAGCAGTTTCCCAGACAGAGTTCATTTTCTCGCAGGAAACCCATTTCAACTTCAAAATTCAGCAATGTCTGTCAGAAATCTAAAATTTTCCATCTTGATGTCCCTCAAATTCATGTTAACCTTGATAAGAAGACATTGCTTGCTGAGAAGATAGTTGCTGAAGCTATTGAAAAAGCAGAGAAAGAGCTGAGCAATACCAGTGTGGCAGCTGATAGTGGAATTGGGCAAGACGGTGTTAGCTTTGCGGAAAGCCTGACAACAGAAATAATGACTTCAGCTATGACAAACATTGGCCAGGCTGTGAGCTGGTAAGTTTCAAATTTCTCGTTGAATGTGAAAAGATAAAATGAAAAGTTAAGCTCAGTTATGTATGTGTTAGGCCCTGTTAAGAAAGATAACTGTCATTTTTAATCCAAAATTAACAAAAAAAGTTTCCCCATTGCATTATTTTCAGATCCTGTGTCAGACTTTGATGTATTCTGTCTCCTGATTCCTTCTGAGCTGGAAGAAGAGGGTAGTGGAGGGTAGTTAGTTTGTACTAGTTTGTAGAGCTGTGACATATGTAGTGTTGAGTCAGGGAAATACCTGGGGGATTTCTGATATAGGAGATTAGCATATTAATTTTCTACTATAAATTTTCATATAGTGTTTTCTACTTTTTCCAAAACTAAGTTTGCTGGTATGCAACATGATTTAATTAAACTGCTTTGCAGGGGTAGGGGGGAAGAAAACATTCTCCCACTTTTTCTGCCTCTGATGATAAGCTCTCAATCGAAGGTAGTTCTTTCTGATATTCTTACAGGGTCCTCTAACTAGCTGTGACTTGAGTACAGTGGTTCTAAGAACTTTACGTTTTCACTTTTTTCCCTTTAAAAATTTTTAATTGGCACAGAATAATTGTACACATTTGAATAGAGCGTGATAATTTAAACACACGTATGCAACCATGTCATAGTCAGGACAGTTAGTATATCTTACCCCAAACATTTATCATTTCTTTGTGTGAAGGACATTTGATATCCTTTCTTTAGGCTGTTTAAAAATAGAGTAATTATTGTTAACCCTTAATTATTCTTATTTGTTAAAGAACAGTAGAATTCTTGCCTGTATTTTTGTACCTGGCGACCAACCTCTTGTTTATTTTTAGCCTCTGTCCCTGAAAAAGCATTAGTGCCAACCTATGTTGCTAGTTTTCAGGTTTGTATTTGAAAATCCCACTGGAAAGAGAAATGCTTTGAATTGAATTGGAAAACAATTGATTTGAGTGCTATCCTGGATTTTTTTTTAGTAGCTTTTGTCAGAACTATGACTGGAATTGCTCCTGTTCTTGGCGTCTTTAAATAGGGAGATAGAGTTTTCCCAGAGCTCGTGAATCCAGCTGACTGAAGGCATCCTCTTGGAATGAGCTGTGAGCTTGGGGAACTTTGACAAGTATATCCACTTACTTTTTTTGCATGGACTTCAAGCTAAGAATGCTTATATACAGAGTGCAGACCTGTGATTGTTACTGGGAATTTTTGTGATAGTAAATTTTTCAAAGGGTAGAATATCAAGGTTATATTCTGAGTTACCATTTTTTTTTTCTGAGGCAGAATAACGCAGCAATCATTAAAAACTTTTCTGGACCCCATCCTGTGGATCATTTCAGCCAAAAGCCGTACAGATGTGACACAAAACAGAAGGGCTCAGAAAGAACAAAGGGGTACATTTTTGTGACTTAGTTGTAACCTGTGTCTTGTACTGCTCAGTAGTATAAAGCTGGTCTTAAACAGAATGAGAAAATAGCCCTAGGAAGCAGCTCGAGAGTTGTCTAGGAATCTAGGATACAGAAGTTAAGTAAAACAGGCAAAAATCAGTCTTCTCTTGGAGTTTGCTGTGGACTAAATAGGCCATAGATACACAGTGTGTAGTTAGTGATAAATGTTTGAGAGGACAAACCAGGGAAGGAGAATAGTGGTAGGTGATGGCAGTTGGGCTGGCTTGCAGTTTTGAAAAGGTGGCAAGAGACAAAGTGCTCATAAAATAATATTTGAGCTAAGAGCCAGATAAGAGATGTTAAGTCGCTTTAGAATAGAGAGGAGCAGGTTCTAGACAGAGGGGTGTGAATGTGTATTGGGAAACAATGAGGACTGTGTTGCTGAAGTGGAGTGAAGATAGACCTTAGGAATGGGAACCGCCTAACGTGTTGTAAGGATTTGAGCTCCTATTTTAATTGATGAGAAGCCATTGTAAGGTTGTTTTGTTTTTGTTTTTGTTTTGTTTTTCATCTATTTGAAAGACAGGCACACACCTACACTTCTTTGATCTGTTAGTTCACTTTCCACAGCTGGTTCAATTTCCACTGCCCACAGCATCCAGGGCTGGGCTAGGCTGAAGCCAAGTGTCAAGGATTCTGTTAGGGTCTTCCATGTGGCTGGCAGGATCACAAGCATGAGCCATCGTCTGCTGCCTCCTAGGATGCATTAGCAAGAAGTTGGATTTAGAAACAGTAATCAAACTGGCACTCCAGTAGGGCATGTGGGTGTCCTTAACTTGCTATACCACTATTGGAAGACTGCCATTTGCTCTCTTGGCATTTGAAACATCACTTTAAAAATTTATTTTTTATTATTTTTTCATTGGAAAGGCGGATATACAGAGAGGAGAGATAGAGAGGAAGATCTTCCGTCCGATGATTCACTCCCCAAGTGAGCGCAACGGGCCGATACTATGCCGATCCGAAGCCAGGAGCCTCTTCCGGGTCTCCCGCGCGGGTGCAGGGTCCCAAAGCTTTGGGCCGTCCTCGACTGCTTTTCCCAGGCCACAGGCAGGGAGCTGGAAGGGAAGCGGGGCTGCCGGGATTAGAACCGGCGCCCATATGGGATCCCGGGCGTGCGAGGCGAGGACCTTTAACCACTTGCGCCACCGCGCCGGGCCCTGAAACATCACTTTAAGCTTTGTAGAGAGTAAAGCAAAGAGGGGCAGTTACAGGAGGTAAAGAGTGACTGGGCTTTATTGTGAAGGTGAAGTAATAATGGGTTTACTTCTGTTTTGAGAGGAAAGCTGGAATGGGTCATGATCCATGGTCAGGATCTTGAGGAGATTTGGCTAGTTTGAATATGGGCTTGATTGACAATATTAGAGTTCCTTCAACTATTCTGAAAGCCTTGTAGAGTCCTATTCAGAGTCTTATAATATAAATGAAAGTACTGTTAAAATGTTAAGATGGCCAACTTAGGAACTTAATACAGAGAAATGATGCCCTGGGGATTGGATCCATAATAGATTAGCAAGGTGAGTTAATGGTGATAGTTAACCTAGTTAGCTGTGACATTAATATGTTATTTTGCAAATCATCTCCTACAGGGTTGGATGAAGAGACACACTGGAATAACTTAGACTATAATTTCTTGGTTTTGTTAGCTTTATTGTCATCTCAGTGGTCTCCATGGTTCCATCTGTGATGTTTTCTTTTTCTTTTTTGTAGTTCAAAAGAAATGGAAGACCTTCAGTCAACTGAGTCTTTTAGTAGCCAGCAGATGAATCTCAGTATTGGTGAAGACAGCACTGGCAGCTGGTCCAATTTAAGTTTTGAAGATGAACACCAAGACGAAAGCAGCAGTTTTCATCATCTGAGTGAAAGGTAACTAGAATTTTCTATGTCATTGTATAGTTTAGATCCTTAGACCCCTCAATCAGAATTATAAATTTACATTGAGTTTTATTTAAAAATCCTAAATGAAAAAATTTGACGTTTAAAATGTATTTTTATTTACAATATAGTTCTTATGGCCCTAGTCACTTATTAAACACAGTAACCAATCTGATTTTCTTTGGTTGTGCCAATAACTGATTTGAAAAATATTGCATACATTTGTCTCCATATTATTTAAGCCATAAGTACGTAAGCCTTTTAGTGAACTTTCTGAGAAAATGTTTTCTTTCTCACTTTATTTTTTTAAAGATTTATTTATTTTTATTACAAAGTCAGATATAGGAGGAGAAATAGAGAGGAAGATCTTCCGTCTGATGATTCACTCCCCAAGTGAGCGCAACGGCTGGTGCTGTGCCGATCTGGATCCAGGAGCCAGTAGCTTCCTCCAGGTCTCCCACGCGGGTGCAGGATGCCAAAGCGTTGGGCCATCCTCGACTGCTTTCCCAGGCCACAGGCAGGGAGCTGGATGGGAAGTGGAGCTGCTGGGATTAGAATTGGCGCCCATGTAGGATCCTGACATGTTCAAGGAGAGGACTTTAGCCACTGGGCCCCTACTTTTTCACTATAAAGGATACTTTTCTTTTAGTAGATAGTAAAACAGGATAGCAGCAGTTTATCAAAGATGTCAAAATAGCACTATCATTTGTTTGATATTAATTAATGCCATATTGAGGGGTGGGCTTACTCATCCTGATGTTAGGAACAAAATGCCCTGGAACTTTAATGCTTGAATGATAGGTTCTTCTACCCTAAAGGCATTTCTGGCTGACCTGTATAATTCTATGCAGTCCTGTCCATATTAACTGATGACTAGAGGCAGAAAATAGCCGTAGTCGAATATAGGAAGATGAAAGGGTTCGCAAGATACTCTTCAGTTTCAGGCATGTATGGAAAGGATTCTGTGAGGCTTCAGTTACACAGAGGCCTTGAAATTGGCTTGCCAGGCTGGGGAGGGTGGAAAACAGTTGGAGGAGGGCATGCGGTAGCATATGTAAAGGAAATGGCTTGTCACCTGTTAGGACAGTTCACATCAAAGTAGTTTGTTTGGAGTAACCAGAAGGTATTAATATTTTTCTCAAGTATCTATTTTGTCATAGTTACTTAATGTTATAAACTACCAATACTTCTTTTTAAAAGATTGATGTATTTTGTTTGAAAGGTAGAGTGAAAGAGGGAGAGACTGAGTGAAGTAGATCTGTCTGAACCAGCTGCGCTAAAGCCCACAAAAGCTGAGATGAGGCCAGGCTGAAGCCAGAAGCCTGGAACCCCATCCAGGTCTCTCCAAGTGCTTGAGCCGTTAGCTGCTGCTTCCCAGGCATGCTATCCGGAACCTGGACTGGAATTGTGAGGAGCTAGGACTCAGCTGGCTATGTGGTGTTAAGCTTTAGGCACAAAGAAAAAGTGGGCTCATCTGAAGATGTTGGTTTGCTTTTTGTACACCAGCTTCCTAGTCCTTGCTCCAGAAGCCAAAAACCGATGAGGTCAGTAGCAGGCGCTGAGAATCTGCATGTGATTTCAGTGTAGGTGGTTTGGAGAACAAACTTGAATACCCATTGCTTCACATGCTGTGTCCTAGATGATACTTGCTGTAGGTGTTGTTCTTTTCTGATGCAGAGATCAAGGTGGGGAATAAAGTCTTGAACGATTTGAAGCACACCTTACTCTTTTCTGGAGTAAATGGTGCAGGGCAACAATTAAAAAAAAACACAGCACCATAATTTCAAAGTTTCATAGGTGTTTAGGAGACTTGAATAGTTACTTGGGAAACAAAATAGCTTTCTTTTAATGTGACTCTAAAGCATTTCCAGTAGTTTTCCATCCTCAGAAATTTAGTATTAGATTAAACTTTATAACTTTTGGGAACATTTTTTATGAAATATGTCAGCATTGACAATGGTTTTTATATGAGTGAAAACCACAGTAAAGAATTTTAGTACTTGACTACCCTGGTTAAGAGGTATAAGAATACTCTTACACATGTAGGAAAGATGAAAAGACATTCGAGGAAATAAAGGAAGCAGCACAGTGCTTTAAGAATGAAATCCTAAGTCTGATATGTGAAAGAAATTAAGGTTTTTAAATGTTGGGTTAATGTAGGGTACACTTATCTTCTAGTTTACCCAGGGTAGTCATGGTTTGTTTCTACTGTTCTCATGTATTTATTAATGGTGACTTCTCTTTAAAAGTCTCCTGGTCAGATGAAAAATGTATATAGTCATCCAGACTAAAGCTGGTATTTTATTACTGATTTCACACCTGACCCATGGCAGGAAAGGGATGCAAGGTTAGCTAGAGTTGAACCTGTGGTCTCTGTTTAATTGCTAATTCTTGTTCAGGTTCATCAGACATTCAGTTCAATGATTTTTATTAATTGGATTGCAGAATCATTTGTTATTTCAGAAAATAGTAGCATTTTAATGTTGTACTTTTTGTTTAGATAATTCTACTTACAGTGGTAAATCAGTGTTTGAGATCATTAATTTTCTCTGACTCACAAAAGTCCATTCTGTAGTTGTGTTTTCTCATTTTTAATTTGACAACATACTATGTGGGCAAAAATCTGATTCTTTTAATATTTTTAAAGTTATATTTATTTGTGTATTGAATAAACCCTTTTCTGTTGTGACTTTGATTCCCTGATATGTTATGGTTTATTATGGTTTAATGTTATATGTTATTAATGCTATTAATAACAGTTATATTATGGTTTATTATGGCATCTTATAGTTTGATAAAATGTTAACATGCATGTGTATGTAAGTTACTTGAAATTGTTTAGGAACTATTTAGAACTTGTGGTAATTATGTTTTTGCCTTGTTAACACCTATGGATGCATTTAAAGTGATTTTCTTATTCTTTAGAACAAAAAGCTTAGTTTTTGTAAATGTTAGGTATTGCCTAGCCTAATAGGAAATACTGTATAGCTGCTTATCACTGCTAACTAATGTGCTTACTAATTTTAATAATTAGGAATGATAAGATTTTTTAAAAATCGCATGTTGAGATTGTTAGTTTGAAACATTGAATTTGAATTTAATTTGTTTCTAAACATGGTTGCTTTCTTAAACATTGCTTTGCTGCAGTGGTAGAATAGAGTTGCTTGCTTCTTCTCTTGGTTAGGTAGCATAAGGAGTTTTCTGTCCGTGGCATTGGTGACTGGTCGGCCAGACAAGGGTAATGATTGATGATTGATTCACCTTGGATATTATAGCTTTATTCTGAAGAAACTGTATATTACCTGCCACCTACTGAATTATACCTAATAACATGAAATGAAGGTAACTGACATAATACTATTTGAGAATTGGAGAAAATCTTTTCTCTGAATAATTAGGAAAGTTCTGTTTAGGACAATGTTTGAGTGCCTCCTGTGCCCCTTCCTGCCTCCCCACTCAAGCCTATCACTGTTTCACAGTATGGGAGACTTGAGAGCTTGAGAGTGGTTAGCTTTTTTTTTTTTTAACTTTATTCAAACTGATGGTGATTGACTTTTATAGTCAATGAAATCCAGAAATCTGCCAAAGACACTGTCTTTATTTTGAGACTGATTTGTACATTGATTTGATGTTCTAAAAGTCATTTTTTTAACCTGCAAGTAAGTGTAGGCTTAGAATAATTTGCATGATCCGTTGGGAGCAAAGAGAACTGTTCCTGAATCTCCACACTGGTCCTTGGTGACCTGCGTGGACAGTCCTGCTGCCCGAGCAGATGCTCCGCTGTGGCAGCTTCAACACATGTGCAGTGACTAGGACTGAAGCTCTGCCAAGGAAACCGAAGGTCTTCTGTACTCTTCATTTTCTAGTTCAGCCCTGTTCTTTTCTTCCTCCAGCAGTAATGGTAACAGCAGTAGCTGGAGCAGTCTTGGTTTAGAAGGAGATTTGTATGAGGACAATTTATCCTTTCCAACATCAGACAGGTTGGTCCAGTTTAGAAACTTAAAACCTGATGATTCTTTCACCACTAATGCATGAGATCATATTCTGAAGAGAATGGGGGTTCAATGCCAATATGTATCAACCTGCTTACCTCCTGTATTCTGACATGAGTCTGACATGATTCTGCTTGAAAAATTCACATCTAATGAAAAAATCCAGCTCTGCTAAGACATAACTGACATCTAATTGCAAATTTACATTACTGTTGTGCATGTGTTGCTGTGCTTGCTCTTTTTCATCCCAGCAACTACTATTTCATTTGAAAAGCTTGCTTCTTTCACAGGATTTCTGGACACTTTTGTTATTGTTGTATTTTATATATGAGAAAAGTATAGGAAAAATGTATTTTTACTGTGTTAAAATTAATAGCATCAGCAAAAACATTAATAAGTAACTTCGTGGCATTCAGTGATATTAAAAAACATCAAATTAGCAAAATATTTTAGCTATAAATTATCTTACATTCAATTTTACTAAATTACTTGGCTGTATATATCATGGTAGGTCTTGTTTATTGGATAACTTTAGACATTTGCAATTCAAATTTTAACATGAAATGATGTGAGAAGCAAAGCTTCCTTTTTTATTGTCATTTCTTTCCTTTCTAAATGTCGTGTCATAACACTCATTCCTTACCATATATTTAATAATTGGTTTAGATATAATTACTAATGGAAGTTTTTTAAAACTCTTCTGCTGTTTTACTCGAGAAGTGATGGGCCAGATGATAAAGATGAGGAGCCTGAGGACGATATAGAAGGTAATTGACTCTTGTTTTTGAAAACAGTTTGGTATTTTTCCCATAACATTACCTAGGTGATGCTTTTTGCTTTGTATTTGTGTGCTTTCATCAGATAGGTCCTAGGTTATTTAGATCTTTTTGTTTTCTGAAGATTTATTTATCTTTTTTTGAAAATCAGATATACAGAGAGGAAAGACAGAGAGGAATATCATCCATCCACTGATTCTCTGCCCAAGCAGCCGCAATGGCCAGAGCTGAGTTGATACAAAGTCAGGAGCCAGGAGCTTCTTTTGGGTCTCCAACATGGGTGTAGGATCCCAAGGTTTTGGGCCGTCCTTGACTGCTTTCCCAGGCCACAAGCAGGGAGCTGAATGGGAAGCAGAATAGCCAGAATACGAACTGGTGCCCACATGGGATTCTAATGCCTCCGTAAGTAATGATTTTCTCAAGTAGGGATTCTAGAAGTAAGTGTTTTGGGCCTGATGCGGTAGCCTAATGGCTAAAATCCTTACCTGTGTGCACAGGGATCCCATATGTGTGTTGGTTCGTGTCCTGGCTGCACCACATCCCATCCGGCTCCCTGCAAGGCGGAGTTAGAGACCTTCCATCTGTTGTTTCAATCCCTAAATGGCCTCCACAGCTAAGTTTGGACTACTTCCTGCTCTCCCACCGGGTGCTGGGGCCCCATTCTTCGTTGCCTTTCCAGACACATTAGCAAGGAGCTAGATTGCAAGTGGAACAGCCTGGACTTAAATCGGTGCTCAGATGGGAGCCCAGCACTTTAGTCAGCAGCTTTACATGCTATACCAACACCAGTACCCTGGTGTTTTTTTGGTTTTTTAATTGAGTGTCATTAGGAAGGACAGAAAAGATAATACACTTAGAGAATAATGTGGACTAACAAAATTTAAAGATTTATTTTTATTTGGAAGGCAGAATTACAGAGAGAAGAGAGATCTTCCATCTGCTGATTTCACTACCCAAATGGCTTCACAGCTGGAGCTAGTCTGATCTGGAGCTGGGAGCTTCTTCCAGGTCTCCCATGTGGATTCAGGGGCCTAAGGACTTGAGCAGTCCTCTGCTGCTTTCTCGGGCCACAAGCAGAGAGCTGGATCATGAGTGAAGTAGGCGGGCCTGGAACCAGCACCCATGTGAGATTCTTGTGACAAAGGCCGAAGCTTACCTACTGTGCCATGATGCCAGTCGCAAACCAAGTTTTTAAAATTAAAAGGTAGGGGGCCAGCACAATGGTGTACAGGTTAATCCTCTACCTCTAGCACCAGCATCCCATATGGACATTGCTTTGTGTCCCAGCTGTTCTGCTTCCCAACGCAGCTCCCTGATTATGGCCTGGGAAAGTAGTGGAGGATCGCTCAATTTCTAGGCCCCTACACCTACATAGGATACCTGGAAGAAACTCCTATCTCCTGGCTACAGATTGGCTCAGCTCCAGCTGGAGTGGTCATTTGGGGAATAAACTGATGAATGGAATTAGCCCCTTCTATATTAGAGATGTATCAGAAAATACACTGGCCTGGGATTTGGGATGTAAGTTAAATGGTTGCATGCAGCGTTTCTTTTTCATGCAGTGTCTAAAATAATATAGTGACTAAGATCATAGAGTCAGACTAGCTGGCTCTAAGTCCTAGCTCCGGCCTGTTCCCTCTGCAAGGCCCTGGATCTGTCTGCCTGAGATCCCTCACCTGTAAATGGGGCTGAGAATAGTTCCTACCGCATAGGTGACTGTAAGGGTTAAGGGTTTGTATGTATGAAGACCTCAAGACAATACTCAGCGTGGGATGTGTGCCATACAGGAGTGCCTCAGAAAGTTGTGGTTTTGGTATTAAAACATGAGATTTATACATACAAAGAGTCTTCCAAAGTTCATGGAAAATTCAGATTAAAAAATTGTGCATTGATTTTGAAGTTTTTGAACTAAAATACTTTAATTCCATTTTTTATGAACTTTTTGGAATTCCCTTGTGCAAGTGTTTGTTGCTCTTCTTTATTTACCTGAGGTCTTTATTTATGTTTCATTTTTATTTTAATTGCAATGATGGTTTTATAGTTATATTTTCTCCTTTTAGCTATCTTCTGATTTGATTCAAATTATGGTATTCCTAGAACTTGAGTTTAGTATTGTAAAATAAAGTTTTACTTTTGTACTATCAGTTGTCAAAGTTTACTTCTTTATTAATGTTTACTTAATAGTATTTTGTATTCTGAAGGAAAACCTTAGTTGATATAGTTGATATAGTTAAGAAATTGCAGTTTGTTTTCCTCCTTCATTGGAATCTTAAGGAATGGAAAATATTTGCATGTACTTGGAAGCCAGAATCATCGTTTGAGTTGAACTGATGAGTTCTGTTTCCTTTGTTTAAATGTAAATGTTAGGCTTGGAACAAGAAGGAAAGACTTTGCTGATCACGAATATTGACATGGAGCCATGCACAGTAGATCCCCAGTTAAGGATTATTCTTCAATGGCTTGTTGCCTCTGAGGCTGAAGTTGCAGAACTTTATTTTCATGACTCTGCAAAGAAGGAGTTTATACTAGTAAGTACCTATCCAATAAAGAGTGAGGATATATATAGCAATGTGTCATTCTTGTCATGTTAATGGTGATTGCTGGAAGATGGTTAAAGACTTTGTGTCTAAGCATTGGAGTCTTAGCATTTTAGGTTTGAATGTCAACTCTGTCACTTTTGAGGAATATAACCTCAGGTAGTTTAGCTGTTCTAATCTAGGGGTTTTGTGAGGATTAACTACAAAATGGTGAACATGAAAAGGTTATTTAATCTCTTTCCTAGCACATATCAAGTTATCAAAATTGGATGCCATTAATAATTATTTTGTTCATTCTGTAAGAAAATTAAGTTATTTTACATATTTTGTTGATCATAATTAGGTCTTTGATATCAAACCAATACAATTTAAAGGTAGATTTTACCAAACTTATTGTGTGCCAAGCACCTTTGTTACTTATGATTTCAGTTGATACTCTTAAGGCTTTGTCCCATAATTTTTTTTACTAGAACTTTGGTTTAACCTCATCATAGGATATAAAGTAGTATGGTGAGTTACGTGTTAAGTTGATCACTGACACAAAAGGAGCAGTCAAAATCATTCTTTTTTAACACTTTAAAATTTCCCACCCTAATCAACTACGTAAACATCATTAAAAACAAAATTTTAAAAATTTGCTTATTTGTAAGGTGAAGAGAGATAAAGGGAGGAACAGAAAGATCCCCCATCTGTTGGTTCACTTCCTGAGCCCAGCCAAAACTAGGAGCCAGGGACATGGGTGACAGGGACCCAGTCACTTGGCATGTCACTGGTTCCCTTTCAGAGTGAGTGTTAGCAGGGAGCTGTAATCAGGAATGGAGCTGGTACTCTAACATAGGCTCTAAAGCTGACACGGGTGTCCCAAGCAGCACCCTTAATGCTATGGGAAACACCAGCCCTACTCTTACTTTCCGATTTAAAATTACAAATATATGGCTGAAATATATGAAAAATACAATATATAAAAAGAACATTTTGTATTTTGTCATTTATTTTTATGTAGACTGTTCCCCTTTAAGTTTCGATTTTGAGGCAGAAAGAGACAGTAGGACAAAGAGGGATGATCAGGAAATGAATAGTCCAAGGGAAAAAGTGGGTGTGGAGTGTTAGAACAGACCTTAGGGAGGCAAGCATTTTCAAGGCCTTTCATTTTTTTCTCATATGTCTTTAATAGACACATAAATTTTACATATTTGTATATAATGTGATTTATAGTTTTTTTGTTGTTAGTGTTAAAAGGTGGAGGGATGAAGAGAGACAGAAAGAATGTCATCTTCTGTCTGCTGACTCACTGCTCAGATGCCTATAACAGTCAGGGCTGCCTTTCCAGGTGGGCGTTTGCAAGAAGATGGAGCTGGAAACAGAGCTGGGACTTGAACTCAGGCACTCTGTGGGATGTGAGCTTCCCAAACACATCTTAAAATGCTGAGGCAAACATCTTCCCCCCAACCCCTTGCAGTTTTTCTAGGAAAATCTTATTACTAGTTGTGTGTATTAACGGATTGCAGTGTACCCTGTCAGTATATGTATATATAATGGATACGGATGAGATCAGGGCAGTCAATGTTTCTCCTTTAATATTCAGAATATTTAAGGAAGTCATTTAGTCTGATAAACAAAGAGCTAAGGAGTGCCTCAGCTACAGCTAAGGTGCTTGAGTTAGGGAACCTTGTCCTCATGTAACATAGAGCAGATGTTGGCCTGAACATTGGGCGACATTGGGTGACATAGGACAGCCTCACCTTGTGATGTCTGCAGCTTATTTTCACTGGTGATCGTCTTGGGCTGTCTTCTAGCTAGAGCCCCATGGCACTACTGGCATGCTGTGAAACAATTGTAAGGCAAGAAAGAGCATCTGTGAGGATGATGATAGTGGAAATACTTTTTTTATATTTCTGGATAATAAAATGTTAAATTTTCATTAATAAAAATAGCACAATTGCCATAGTATAGCTATAAAATGAGAGAGAATTGTGTAAAAACGGATATAAAAACATTTATACAAATAAAATTAGACACTTGGGTGCTTTAAAGGATGCCATCAAGGAAGTGAAGACAGTTCACACAATGGGAAAGAAATATTTGCAAATTATATGTCTGATAAGGCCCTCGTACCCACAATATAAGAAGAGCTCTTACAACCTCATAGATTTCTACTTCAAAAAAAAAGTGAGTGAAGAATCTTAACATGTGTTTCTCCAAAGAGCATACACCAATGGCAGGTGAATGCATGGAGAGATGCTCAGTGTTGGCCATTAGGAAAATGGGAATTGAAACCACTCTGAGATACCACTTTATACCAGCTTGGTTGGCTATAATCAGAAAGATTGCAACTGTTGGCAAAGAGCTGGAGAGATTGTATCCTTCAAATGCATTCCTGGTGAGAATATAAAATGGTATGGCCAGTTTGGAAAATATTAGGACACTTCCCCTTAAAAAAGTTAAACAATATTCTCATGTCAGTGTGCCTTTCCACTTCTTGGTATAAATTCTGGGAAATGAAGTTATGTACTCACAGAAAATTTTGTGCACAGATATCCACAGCAACATTATTCATAATATTATAAAGCAGAAGTGCCCCCAGAATGTGGTATATCCTTGCAAGGAACAATTTTTCCTGTACAAAGTAATGAAATACTGGAACATGCTATACCAGATAGGGACCTTGAAATAATGACAATAAATGAAAGGTGGTAAATAATAAAAATTAAAATATTTATTTTTATTTTTTAAAAGACTTATTAATTTTATTTGAAAGGCAGATTCACAGAGAGGAGAGACAGAAAGATCTTTTGGGCCACTGGTTTTGTCCATTCCCCAAGTGGCTACAACAGATAGAGCCGAGCCAATCCAAAGCCAGGAGCCTGTAGCTTCTTAGGGGTCTCCATGTGGGCCAAGGTTTTGGGCCATCACTGCATTCCTAGGCCACAAGCCAGGGAGCTGGATGGGAAGTGAAGAAGCTGGGTTGCAAACTGGTGCCTATAGGGGATCCTGGTGCAGTAAGGCTAGGATTTAGCCACTGAGTCATTGTGCTGAACCTACATTGTGTAATTCCATAGGTGTACGATAAATATTCAAAATAGGAAAATCTATATAGAGATCAAATGTAAATTAGGGATTTCCTAGAGTTTAGAGATTTGTTACAGGAAAAATTCGGGGGAGGAGAAGTAGCATAGAGAATAGTGTCTAAGAGAGCATTCTTTTTGGTTTGATGAAAATGTCCTAATTGTGGTAATGATTGCATTCAACTCAGTATGCCGAAAGTCATTGGGTAATATACTTTCAGTATATTATATGCTATATAAGTTAAGTCTCAAAGCTGCTTTAAAAAGATTAAACATTTATATTACAAAAAAAAATTAAAGTTTTTCAGGATAGGCATTTGGCACAGTGGTTAAGATGTGGCTTGGGATACCTCCATACTGTATCACAGTGCCTGCATTCAAGTTCCACTTCTGCTTGCCTGCCTTCCCGCCCATGTCGTTGAGGGAGGCAGCATGTGATGGCTTCATTACTTGGGTCTGTGCTGTGCACTTGGGAAATCTGGCGGCTGCTTCAGCCTGGCTGAGCCCTGGCTGTTATGGGCATTCAGACACCAGCACATTGGCTCTCTACTGTGCAGTATAAATGTAAAGATCCATACAAACTTTTTACTGAATTGAATGAGAAAGAAAAAAAGAAAGATGTGAAGAAGGCATGTTCTAATTGGTGGCGGTAGAATTAAACCTTTATTTTTTTTTTGGTTGAAACATTAACATTTCTTTAACTTAGAAAGCCATATTTCCACTGAGGCTAGAGTTCATCTTCCAGGAAAACAACAATAAACAACCATGCTATATGTTGTGGAAGAAAAACCTGCATCCTTTCATGAAGTTTGACTTTGTTTTTATTATCTTGTGTTCCTCATTGAGGGTGTGGTGGAAGTATTAGGTGAGCTTTCTTGTAGGAAACAAGCCCCCGTACTGCTCTCAGCCTCCCCAGTCCCTCACCCTGACCATCTACTGGGTGAGGTCTGTGGGTGGGGGGCCCCTAGGTATCAGTCTGTGCAGGAGGTGTGTTTGTGAAGAGCAGGAAGGAAGCGTGCTTAATTTGGGTGAAGGAACGTTGTCTTAGGGGAACAGGATATGATATTAACTGGGAAATAATATTATACCTGATGTGATTCATAGTTATCTGCTGTCAAAAGTAAAAGTGAAAGCTTATTGTCATATGACTGTATTCAGCTAGTGTTTGACATGTCTGTCTGTCTGTCTTAGCTTTCCAGACAATTACAAGAAAAAGGATGGAAAGTGGGAGACCTTCTGCAGGCTGTGCTGAAGTATTACGAAGGGATGGAAAACACTGCCAGTGAGGAGAGAAGCAAGTCACTGTTTGACTGGCTCATGGAAAATGCCTAGAACAACCCCCAAGCCACTGCTTCATCATTTGCTTTGGGAAGGAGAAAAGTGGATTAAAGATGCTTAAGATGAAATTTGAATAGTGAGGAAAGTTAATACAGCTTTTTAAGTGCTTTGTGTCATCACACAGTGTATATAGTTCATATTTTGTAATCTCTGTCAAATGATCCCTTCAATGATTCTTTGCACGTGTGCAGTGCGTTGAGAGTACGTATGCAGGTCGGTCTGCGGGCATGGCCTGACAGTGTCCTTTTGGCGTCAGTAGTGCTGCTAAACCGCACTGGAGTGGCTGAGGAGAGGTGTCAGTGATGCCAGTAAAGATTTGCTCCTTTGCAAATGAATGATAACCAATTACTAATTAGTCTGACATCAGAATATGAAACTGAGGCTAATTTTTGTTCTGCTTTTGAAAATCAGCTTTGTTTGCATAGTTCAGCTAATGATAAATTTGTGATTCCACCAAACTACTTTAAAGCAGAAATATTACTTCAGAGTTCTGTACACTTCATTAGTGAGAGTTTCCCCAGCCTTTCATGGAATTATCTTATTTGCCAATGCTACCAGTTCTTCTAGCGTGGATGTAACAGAGCGAGTGTGTGTGTGTGTGTAAAGCCATTTCATCCTTTGCTAGTTGTTTGTTCCCTCTTTTTATTCGTAAAAATCTGCTGTCAATGTTAAGAAGGTGCTTTAAAATAAAGTGTAAAGATTGTGCACTAAGAACTTTTTTCTTTTTGGCTATTTTGGATCCTGCAGTTTATCACATAAATGAAAATTCAAGTTACAAAATGTTCAAATTTTAGAATTTAATTTTAATACAATTTAGAGAAGCCCAATAATAATTTGCATTGTTGGATATTTGAGAAAAAAAAATCTCCATTTTGCCAAGGATAAGTTTTTTCTAAAACAGTTGGGATTGCCCTCATAAACTGCCCTCTGTAGGTAGAATATGTCTGTCTGTGTGCAGTTCTCTGATTTGGCCTTCTTTTTTCTATTGCTTTGTCTTTGGAAACTGCAAGTTGACATGTCTTGGTGTCCAGAATGCTGTCTTGGTGTCATATGGATGGGTATGTGTGTGTGTTTCTCTGGTTCTCCCACTGGTGGATTTTGTAACAGAGCTCAGTCGCTGTCTGTTGCGCCTCGGGGTTTTGCTCCTGAACACGGACTGTCGGAGCTGCACAGCACACAGCAGACACAGCACCTGCTGGGGAACAGGGAGCAAGGACACTCTGAATTAACCACTATGGTAGAGAACTATCATTATAGTTTAGAGATTCAGATTTGCTCTTTAAGAAAAATGCCAAAACGACTTAAATGTTTTGTGGTTATACGGTAAGTTTTGTTGTCTCAACTTAAGACACTGAGTATACCTTAAAACATCAGTTTTCCTAAAGTTTTTCCTAAAATTTCCTATTTTTTAAGGTGGAGAAATGCAGGAAATATATACTCAAAATCATTTCTGCCCTTAACTTTTCAAGACTTAAGCTGTGACAGCACCAAGATGTTTTTTAAGTACTAGGACCAAGCATGTTGCCTCTTGTTAATTATAATGTGGATTAAATGATCTTTAAGTTTAGACTGCATTTTTACAAATATCTAATTGTCAAATTGTATTTAGTCAAGTGGGTTTGATTAGCAGCAAAGCTGAATTTAAAATTTCTGTTAAAGTACAGTGTATTCATTTTGTAAAACTTTCTGTGTTTGAGAATATTTTTCTGTTAGTGATAACAGTCATTTTGAGATGAGGTTTTCCTTTGTGTTTTGCTGGAGCTGTGTTGGGATAAAGTTCTGTTATTTAGCCACTACATGACGACAGACGAGTCATTAGGTGTTAGCATGTGTGGTTACAATAATCTGGAACTCACACTTGGGGAATTGAATGCAGGCACAGAGGTGACGTGAAGTATCGGCAGATGTGAAAGCAGCTTGAGGTAGCTTCCCTCGCCAGGAAAGCAGTTCCTTAAGGAGAGTCTACACTTCTCTCAAGGCACTTTGTATTTTTCCAGAGACTTTCTAGGTCTTCTGAGGACAGCTCTGATTTTATTACAAACCTGCTTGATGCATTTATATTGCGATATTGCCGTTCCCTATGAAATATGTCTCGTTTCAGAATTGCTTTAGTTATGTGCATTGAGCTGAATTGTGCTTATCAGCTTCAGAACCATCCTGTCAGTGCTAGGAAGGAACACCTCTCCAATGGAATTTTCAGAGCGTGAGAATGCAGCAGACTGAGTGCCATGGTCTTTCCTTAAGCCAACTCTAAATTGCATATATATTCTTGGTTTGATAATGTTGATTTTGAAAATACTTCCCAATTTATACAAAAGGAGAGACTTACAAATCAGAAAAGAAAATGACTGTCTTCTGGGTATTTGATATGGTTAATGGCGTTGTAGAGTCTTTGAATGTTCACTCCATGAATATGTGTGAGAACATGTTTGTGTTTTGCGTAGTGCTCACTGATCCTTTTGGATATCTGATATGAATTAATTCCGTTCATAATGCTTCAGTTTTGCTTAAGAGTAAGGGTTTTGTTTGCTGGTAGGAGAATTTAAGTAGGTGTACTTTTGTAGAAAGTAACTTTTTGTTAGGTGAGTTTGACAGTAGTGCCCACTGCCCAAACACAAAGTTTAATCTTGATTGTCACCAGAGTCCAGGTCCTGTTGTCTCCTCAGGTGTTCCTGAGTAAACGTGTTCTTGCGCAGTGACTGCTCTCAGTTTCCCATGGATGTATCACTATAGATTTTATGTCCCCAAGGGGAACTTTCCACAAACTTTTTTTTCCCCCTAATGACACAACCACACTCAAGATGTAGGGAAAATATACTCTATTAAAATCCTGCTCGCCTATCACCAGCACAAAAGAATGAGAACTTTAGTGGAGATTAGGAAAATTGTACTTAACTGAAATGTATTTGTTCCTCATTGTCAGCAACAGCCCTGCAGGCGTTTGCTCAACGGCTGTACCTCTGCTCTGAAGGTGCAGAAACAGCGCTAGTCACTCGGGTCACTTTATTTATTTATTATTATTATTATTTTTTTTTTACCATCCATGTACATTCCTTTCAAATGTGTAGAACTGTAGTTCTTGGGCTCTTGCTTTGTTTTTGTTATAATGTTTGAATACTATTTAACATCAGGTTTTAATATTGCTTCCCTTGGTTCCTTGTACAGTGTTAAAAGTAATACGCATTCTTGTTCCGTACATCAGATATATAGCAAAAGCAGCTTTGCGTAACTGTAGCTGTGTATTGGCCAGTTACCACCTTAAGGTCTCATACTGTATAACGTACCTTTCGTTTGCTTTTCAGTAATTTAATATGTTCTCTTTCCAAAATATGAACTTAAGGATGCAAGTTTTGTTTTAGCAGTGGTTCAAAAAGTTCACCAATTACTTTTGTAATAATTTCCAGTTAATTGTTGTGTTCTCTTACAGTTGTTTAAGTCTGTTATCTTTCCTCTCCCAACTAAGAATGTTTCAATAAATTTAAGAAATGCCCAGGTGTGGCTTTTGTTCTTGAATGCTACTCTAAACTAAACTAGAAACACAATATTTGTGGCATTTTTATGATGGGCTCATAGCATGGATTTTGAAAACAAAAACTAGATTAAAATTTTTAATTTTTAATTTTTAATTGGATATTTGATTGTATCTACTTATAGGCACCTTACTTTCTGGCACAAATGATTTGAAAAGCTAATTCCAAGTCTGTTATTGAAATCTAGGATTTCAAAAAAATAATGGGAACTGCTATAAGGGATCCCATAAGGTATAAAATGCCACGAGCTCCTGAAAAGTCACAATCAGGGAAAAAGAAAAAAGGAGAAAAGTGCTGCCACCCACACTACTCACGCTTACAATCAACCTCTCACCTCGTCTGTTTGTCGGGGCCGTGGGATAGATGAGCATGAAGTGGGGAGATTGTCGTGTCATGATGGCTTTCCCACCTGGGAGGGAGACTTCAGTAGCTGGTGGTGTAACCCAGTTGACTTCTTCACTACTTCTGAAAGCTGTGAAGCCGTCGCTTTCAGAAGGAGGGGCCTTTGGTTGAGTTGACACACAGCTGATGTGATCCAGTCAGCTTGTGGAATGAATGGCCTCAATAGGCCTAAACGGCTAAGTGCTCCTATCGGGCAGGAGGGAACCATGCTCAGGCATGCGTGGTTCAGACAAGGTGGTGGGAAAAGCCCCCTTCAAGGCTGAGAGGCTGCAGAGAAGCAAAATCAGCTGGTGCCAGTGACCTGTTGGGAGTGGGGATCCCATAACTCTGCATTCGGATAAGTGAACCTTCTATTTTTTATTTTATTTGAAGGGCAGAGAGAGTGAGCTTCTGTCCACTGGTTGACTCCTGAAATGGCCACAACGGCTGGAACTAAGCCAATTCAATGCCAGGAGCCAGGAGCATCTTCCAGGTCTCCCACATGGATGCAGAGGCCCAGGGACCTGAGCCATCCTCTGCTGCTCTTCCAGGGAGCTTGAGCATAAGTGGAACGGCTGGGACTTCAATCAGTAATCATAATGGGTTGCCAGCATTACAGGCGGCGGCTTTATGTGCTGTGACAGCGTCATTGCACAGATTGAGCATCTTAGAAACTACCAGAGACAGCATCGATGAATTAGCTGCAAAACAAGATTTATTCATGGTCATCTACTTAATGATTACGATAGAGATGAGTGGCTCAGCAGTTAAGATGTGGTCTGGGACTACCACATCCCATGCCACACTGCATATGTTTGAGCCCCAGCCCACTCCCAACCCCAACTTCCTGTTAACGCAGACCCTGGCTCAAGTAGTTTATAATTGCTGGCACCCACCAGGGAGCCTCAGCTTGAGTTCCTAGCTCCTGATTTAGACTTGGCCCAAGCCTGGGTTTTGGGGAGCATTTGGGTAATGAAGCAGCAAATGAAAAGTTTCTCCCTGTCTGCATCTCCCTGTCTTTACAATAAAAAATTTAAGTGCTGGTTTGATAAAAATCTGAAATTCAGTTCTTTGTAAATTTTGTCAGATGTGAATGTGAGTATAAGGTGATTTCCAGGAGCTTGAACGTTTACAGTGAACTGTACTGAAAAGTTAGGGATGGAGCTCCTGGGGCAGGGAAGAAGCCAAAGGTGAGATGGAAGATGAAACGCAGCACGTACACCTGTAGTACCTGTGCAGTCTCTGGCAAGCACTTCATGTAAATGGCTCTAGTATCACCTCTATTGTTATTCCTACTTTTCAGGGTGAAGAGAAGTTATATTTCTCCTTATAGGACATTGTGGTAATGTCCAGTCAGGCCTGTTATACCACACTGTAACACTGTTTACATGGGGCCTGGCGCAGTAGCCTAGTGGCTAAAGTCATCGCCTTGTATGCACCAGAATCCCATATGGACACCAGTTTGCATCCTGGCTGCTCCAGTTCCCATCCAGCTTCCTGCCTGTGGCCTGGGAAAGCATTAGAGGATGGCCCAAAGCCTTGGGACCACCTGCTCCCACATGATGGACCAGGAAGAAGCTCCTGGCTCCTGGCTTTGGATCGGTACAGTTTTGGCTGTTGCGGCTGCTTGTGGAGTGGATCATTGGGCAGAAGATAATCTTCCTTTCTGTCTCTCCTCCTCTTTGTATATCTGACTTTCTAGTAAAAAAAAGAAAAGACATAATTACAAAAAAATAGTAGATACTGTTAGAGTCCGGGCCAAAGCCCCCGGACCTCAGGTTGCGAGCTAGTCAACCCCCCGAGAACGACAGAGTCTCACTGGTAATGCAAGCAGCAAACAGAGTTTATTGCGCCAGCATGCTGGGGCCAGACCGCACTTGGGACACGCAGGCCAGCCAAGCAGAGCAGTTGGACCCCATACAGCCCAAGACAGAAGCTTATATAGGCTCTTTTGGGCTGGGAAATACATGAAAAGTAACAACCTTAGACATGTTATTTTTATGGCCTTCAGGCACAGGCAGCCCGTTCTGTTCCCATACCCATTATCTGTGAGGCTCATCCCATTCTCACACCCTTATCTTCCTCCTGTTCCTGGGACCGGAGAAGAATTGTGCCCTTGCCCCCCTGCACCTGGGTTCACAAAGTTGCAGGTCAGCAAAGAACAGATTTATCACTAAAGCGGAATCCTCCCAAAGTCCAGGCACCTCCTGGCCTAGCAAAGTAGCAGTTTTCTCTACACAAAGAAACCTCACACTGCCCAACAATAGCATTTTACCCACACTCTAACAATACAAAGATTGACTCTATTTAAGATGAGTTTCAAAAGCAAAGAAAACTTGGTGTGGGTCTTCAGTCTAGCAGCTGATTTATTTATATCCCCTAAGAGTCTTGGTACCCAGCCCCAGAGCTGGCTTCTGACCCCTGATTCCTACTAGCGGCAGCTCTGAGAGGTGGCAGTGACTGCTGAAGTAGCTAGTGGGCTTCCTGCCGCCTACGTGGAAGTCCTGTGTTGAAGTGCTGCCCCCTGCAGTTGTGGGCGTTTGGGGAGTGAGGCAGCACATGCAAGCTTCTCATGTTTCTCTGCCTCTTTAAAAAAAAAAAAACTGTTAGGGAGAGATAGCATATGTGCAAACATTACATATGTGTATGCACGGTACTATTACACATGTACATGCATGTCTCGGGGGGTGTTTTCCTGACCAGCAGGCCCCCAGGACCACCCAGGGGGTGAGGAGACAGTGTTCAGCTGTAGCAAGCACCACTGGAGACAATCTGATCGAGTATGTTCATTTACTGTAATGCAAGCACAAACTTACATAGACTAAGACAGGGGGTGACAGCGGGACATCGCCCGACAGTCCTCCCACCCAACAATGGCAGCATAGTTGACTAGAAGGTAAGTCTGTCTCATCTAGATTATGGATATAGCACGGGCTCCTAAGGTCCTAGTAATACCTGCCTTATAAGCGGTGTGCACTGGATGTTAATTTTTTCTTCAAAATATACGTGCCCTTTATATATTACTCCAAATGGATGCTGTAAGAGGAGCTTCAGAAAGTTTATGGAAAAACATATTGGTGTGTTTTATTTTAAATTCATTTTGCATGAGCATTTTGAAGTACCCTTGTATTTCATAACGGGAACTTTATTTACAATTGCTTTGAAGAGCAAACTTTGTGCAGGGGAATTGTGGCCTATTAATTGAGTGGCTTCTGAAATTTAGGGAAAGAGAAAAAGACCTTTGAAGAGAAGGGATGTTCCAGCACAACTGAAGATAGCTTATTAAAAGAGAAAACCTTTATTTCCTGGAAAAAGGACATGTGACTTAAGTTTTCTGTCTCAAAGATGAGCTGCATGGAGCAGGGAGGAGGCTGCTACTTCCGGCACAGACAGCTGTATTTGGCAATGAAGTTGAGGCACCCACATCCCATAGCAGAGTAACTGAGCTTAGTCCCTCTGGTTCTGATACCAGCTTCCTGCTGATGCACACCCTGCGAGGCAGCAGCTGATGGCTCAGGTGTTTGGGTCCCTGCCACCCACATGGGAGGCTCAGATGGAGTTCCAAGTCTGCAGTTTGGGCCTGCCCTGCCATGCGTGTTGCAGGATTTGGGGAGAGTGAGCTAGCGGATGAAAGATTTTTGTCTGCCTTTGAAATAAATCAAAAAGTGAAAGTTTGAAGAGAAAAGCTTTGCAAGGTACATATCCTATGTATTTATTTTGAACTGGACTCTGATCTCAGCACCTGACACAGAGGGTCAGCCATCCAAATCCCAGACCCCAGCTTCACCCTTGGTTCTAGCATGGAGATGCCAGTGTTAGAAGAGAGGAGAATGAAAGGAAACGGATGATGAGGCTTAAAGCCAAAGCCTTTAGCAGGAAGAAATAAATGCCTCTGGCCAGAGAGTAGGAAAGGAGCCAGGCTGGGGGCTGGCCAGTGTGGCACTGGACCTCGGGTAAGGCAAGGCAGGGGGCTCAGAGGCTGGCTTGAGGAATACAGCCCTGCAGGACTTCCGCCCTGTGTAGGCTAAACAGGCCACAGTGGTAGCTTGCCCTTGTCACTCTGCATCCCCCACAGTCCTAGGGCTGCCAGCCTGGGCTGCTGGCCTGGGCTGACCAGCAGCCTCCTCTGTCTTTACCATCTGCCCAGAGACTGTGGGAGGCAGTCTTCAGAAAGGGACCACAGCAGCTCAGAAATCCCAGACAGAAGAAACACAATCTTCAGTTCTTGAAGCTGCAATATTTCTTTGAGCCTCAAGGTGGTACAGCAGCACAGCCTACGGCTTCCCCAGATCCGCGTTCACCCTGGGCCTGATGTTTGCTGCGCTTTCTTGCACTCATGTTCCAAACAGGCCAAGGCTCCTCTACTAACCTCACCTCGAGAGATCTTCTCTTGCCGGCTTTTAGCCAGAATCTTGATGGTTTTCTCAATTCTTTGGTTCCTGGAAATTAAAAGCCTCGTCTGAACAGGTACAACCGCCTGTTTCACATCAGGATTACTCTCCCCTGGTGGAGGTGGAGGGATGTGTACCTGTGTTGCGGGGGGTGGGGAGTAGGGATGGATGGGGCAGGAGGCAGAA